TTTGGAATTCTGTTTAAAACATCATATTACTGATTAAAATCCTATAAATAAAGTGCCTTAAGCAGGTTAAAAGAAAAGGTTTTGAGACTTGATTGCATGTTATTGTTTCCATTCTGATTGTGAAATGTTGAATATTAATGAAGCCCTGAATAAGGGATTTTGTAGCAATAATGCCTCTTATTCTAGCTACAAAATAGCGGCTGCACTGCGTTATTGCACTTTTATCCTTGCACGCTTCCGGGAAAGCAATTAAATTGCCTTGCCACTTCAGTTTTAGAAAGTGAAAGGTTAGAAAACACAATAAAACTGAACATAATTTCCAAAAAGAATTGAAAGTCATTGGACTGTGAGATATTTGAAATCATATCAAAAAAGCAGAATTTATGGGCCCATGAGTTATGGAAAAGGAAATTGAATTGTGTTTTATTTTCAAAACACAACCACTAAAAAGATGTTTCCATAGCAACAAGGTCAATACCAGTAGCCATTACAGACCTCCTCCCCCCCCCGTTTTTTTTCTGATAGTGGGTTTAAAGAGCCTTTTCAAATACCAGTTTAAAAGCCATATGAAAAAATACTATAGATTTTCTGAACATTCATTTGAACCAAAAATGAAGAAAATCACACATGGTGTATTGAATTTCTCATGTTTTATGGATTACAAGCATTTGTGACTGTTGTATTTTCAGAAAGAAGCCTGCTTGACTAGCTGCTATGCCAACCCCTGAACATAGGATTTAATTAGCTCGATTGTAAATAGGGACAGACAGAAGTTGTTTGCAGTAGTGTTCAAACAGAAATAAAAGGTGGCATGGTATTTAAAATATAGTCCTTTAACATCTAAATATTGAAAGAGTTAAGTAAATATTCTGTTATTAAAAAACTTCAAATGTTCAGATAAAATATTATATAACTAGGAGAGGAAGATAGAAGCCATATTTTCTTTACAACCGAAACAAATGGCTCTTTTGCTACAAAATCAAAGCATTCAATTCCACCAGGAAGTGAATTCTCCTCCTTTCTCCTGAGTCAAGTTGTACTGTCCATTGATCATCATCTGTACAACTTTATCTCCTCAACTAACAGAACCCCTTTAGAGCAGAGATACTTTTACTTCCCTTGGTAGCATTTCACATGACCTTTTGTGTACAGAAATATTGAAAAAAATGTAGACGGAATTGTTAAAAAAATCACAAAATAGTAAAGTAACAGAATCTCTGATTTAATGTTAGAAATGATGTTAGTCTTTATATTCATGATTTTAATGTTTTTTATACTAAGAAGGCATAAGTCCTTATTCACAGAATCACCAACTGTTTAAAAAAAAATAGGTTATTTGCCTGGACAGTGTATCAATTTTTGCCCATACTTGCCCATTCCCTGACAACAAGTTTGTGTGTGTGTGTGTGTGTGTGTGTGTGTGTGTGTGTGTGTGTGTGTGTGTGTGTATTGGTACTGGTACTGGGTTTGAATTCAGGGCCTGTGAACTTCCTTTGAGAATTTTTCCTCAAACTATGCCCTACCACTTGAGCCACAGCTCCACTTCTGGCATTTTGGTGCTTAATTGGAAATAAGTCTCACTGATTTTTCCTGTCTGTGCTGGTTCTGAACCTCAGAGCTCAGCCTCCTGAATAGCAAGCACAAGCAACCAATGCTTGACCAACAATAACTTTCAAAGCTAGTCAACAGATTCTAATGTGAAGCTAAAGTTGGAAATCATTGCTTTTCTGTCAGTCTTCTCCTGAGCACAACTGTTGATTAATTCATTTCCTAACTTTTCTAATTTACTTCCTTCTTGTTTTCTTATTCAATATTATTTCATGGTTCCTCTACATATCAAATCTATAACACAATAATCAGTTACTGAGAGTCATTGTTATAGTAAAGTTGCAATTAAAATAGTTAAATATTTTATAATAAAAAGTTTAGCTTAAAGCTAAAATGGGCTCTGTGAGGCTGGGGTGTGAGATTCAGAATTTGAGGCCAGCTTGAGTTTCCAAAAAGAGACACTTTAAAAATTACTATTTATTATATTATTCATATGCATTTTTATTGTTATAAATTTAGCTTTTGAAAGTTAGAGCTGAATATGGTACCAACACAATAGACATTAAATTAGTATCTATAAAATATATCCTTTTGTTCTTTCTTATCTTTCTTTGCTTATGTAATATCTTTATCCCTTATCTAGACAGCAAAATTCCAATAAATCTTTCAAGATAACAAGTTTTCTTCTTTGAGCACGCCCCCTTCTCCACCTGCACAAACCACTAAGAAATTCTTTTTGGTTTTGCCACTGCCCCCTCTTTCATGACACTGCATACTGACGTTGTTTTTTTCTTTTGTTTTTAAACAATTTAGGGACAACTTGCAATGGGTGATGATTTAGGGTACAGCATAGCCAAGAACTGTGGAAGCAATGGGTACTCAGTAATGTTTACCAAATAAATGAATAAAATGGCATGATGTAACAAGTGAACCAAGTGTATTTCAGAACAGCTAAGGCTATAGGTTGATCTGTGTCCTCTCTGGAGTCATATGGTAAAGCCATAGCTCCAGTGTGCTGGCATTTGGAAGAGAGGACTTTGACTGGTAACTAGACTTATGGGAGGTCATGAAGTGGGCCTCCTGATGAGATTAGTGCCTTTATTAGCAGAGACAACAGGGATCTTCTTGTCCTTCTTTGTCACCTGAGGACACCACAGGAAGGGGAAGAGGGACAAGGCCCAAACCCAACCACACTGGCCCTCTGATCATAGAGCTATTAGAAAGAAAGTGTTTAAGCCACTCAGGCAGTGGTGCTGTGTAATGACAACCTGATCTACCTATGTACCTGTAAGTTAGGATTAAGTGAGGTTAAGGGAAGATTCTTATAACAATGGCAGAACATATATGCTTCCTCTCTTTATTAAAATCCTCTAAAAACAGGTGTCCATTTTTAAAAGAAAAAAGACCAGTGAAAATAGGGGTTATATCATAGGGGAAGAACATACAAAAGAGAAAAAAGAAATCACAGAGTACATTATAAGTACTTTAAATACAAAAAAAGCACAAAACCTCTTGTGTCCCTATCTTGGGGTTCATTTTGCTTAGCATCATCATATATGGTCATATGTGCATAGCTTTTGAGCTTTTCTACTTGTCTGGTAAGATTCTCCTAGACATATACTAGTTATCGCAAATAATGGAAACCATGAGACCTATGTTTCTTTGGGTCTGGCTTACTTCACTTTTCTAATTTGGGGAGGGGAAGGGAAATAACAAAATGCTGAAACAAGGATACAAGTTGACCCATTGTAACAATGAGATGTACAAGACACTATGTTGAAAACAAACTTTACAACTTAGTCGGGGGAAGGGAATAGTTGGGGTGAGATGGAATGGTAGGGGAAAAACAAAGGAGGAGGTAACAATGCTGGAGAGGAAATACACTCATTACTCATGTAACTGTAACCCCCCTGTACAGTATCTTTACAATAAATATATATTAAAAATGTAGTTAGAATAGATATTTCATGGTTTCCTCCAAATTAACTTGAAGTAAAACAATATATATCTTCCTGATTAGCTATAAAACATGTGATAAACACATACAGTTAGAAAGAAAGTAATATAGTAAAACAACTATTAATTGATGGGAGATGTAGTCTACATTGTCAATTAGAGCTATTTGTCAGATTTTTTCCTTTTTCCTCAGGTACCATTCATTGAAGACAGTGCTCCTCTCATTGCTTAAACCATGGCTTAAGTTAATTTCACTTTCTCTTATTTAATATAGAAAATATATTTAAGTGACCATAGACTAATAGACTAATACATTAGTCATTTCTTCCACAAATGTTTATTATGCATTGTGCGGCAACAACTCTGTGGTTTGCTTATAAGCATCAACCCTGTGCTTTGTATAAGCAAACCTTCACTTCCAATTTTCAATGATGAATAATAACGTTTGAAAAATTGGAGAACCAATACCAAATTGGCAACATTTTACTTGATTAAATAACATTGATAACAAATATCAGTCAGGCTGGGAAGGTGGTTCAGAGGTAGAATGCTTGCCTTGCATGCATGAGGCCCTGGGTTCGATTCCTTAGCACCACATAAGCAGAAAAAGCCAGAAGTGGCACTGTGGCTCAAGTGGTAGAGCAGTACCCTTGAGCTGAAGAGCTGAAGGACAGCGCCCAGGCCCAGAGTTCAGACTCCACGACCAACAAAAAAAAATTTAAAAAAAATAAGAAAAAAAATCAGTTAACTTTGACAATTAGTTAAATGAAAGAGCACTTTAACAAAAAATAATTAAATAATAAAATCAGAAGAGAATAAAAGAGAACTTTCATAGTGACTTGGAGAAAACATAGAGAATTGGAGAAAAACACACATTTCTGGAGAGGGTTATATAGCCCAGGCTGGCCTTGAAAGTATGGATTGTCCTATCTCAGCTTCCAAAGTGCTGGGTTACAGGTGTTCAAACCTGGTTTTCTAATGTCTTTGTCTTCTCATTTCTGTTTAAACTGCTGAAATTTTTAAAAGACTCAATCAAAATTGATAATCTCTTCCTGGGGCTTGGAAGGTAGCCCAGTGGTCGAATGCTTGTCTTGTATGCATGAGGTCCTGGGTTCAATTCCTCAGCACCACATAAGCAGAAAAAGTCAGAAGTGGTGCTGTGGTTCAAGTGGTAGAGCACTAGCCTTGAGCTGAAGAGCTGAGAGACAGTGCCCAGGCCCTGAGTTCAGGCTCCACGACTGACAAAAATAAAAAAAAGTAAAAAAAATTTAAAAATCCCTTCTTTATTCCAGTTCTTAGGATGGCTATCAAAATGTCAAGTAAACTTGCTTTAATCCTTTTAGTGTTCAAACAAAAACTGCACATTTACTTATCTGTAATTATACCCTCACGTGCTGAAGGCCTAGGGTGTATCTGATTACATTTCTGCATTTCTGTCATCTAAGTATCTATGCAAAACCTAGAAATTAAAGAGAGACAAGTGTAACAAAACTTACATGTGTGGACCCAATGAAATTACCCTTGTCATTACAATTCCAAGAATCAGAGCTGTCAAAACTGTGGAAATAAAGGATATCTGCAAAAGAAAATGAAAACAACATTGGTGAAGAATACAGATTACTTTATTCAAAATATTTTTTTACTTGGGTAAACATGTACATAGACTGCTTTTATCCTTTAGTGGTTTATAGGCTCATAAATTCCTATTGATAACCTAAGGACTATAATTTCTTATCAGGTAACAGTCTTTGTCCCCTAACCCACAAGATAAGCAGTGTTCAAATATGATTTGTGATCTTCTAACATGGCTTCAGACCTGTTTAGTGGCTTTGTGAATAAAGAGTAAAAGTGAAATTACGCTTCCTTTTATCTTCTAGCTTTAATTTAATGTGTAGACTTGTGCCATTTTTCTTCCTATAATTGTTTCCTCTCTGCCTGTGCTTTGCCCATATTTTCTCTTGCAGTACAATGGACATACCACCTTCTGGCACGTCTGTTTTTCACTCTGTTCCCTAGCTCCATTGGCTCTATACGTTGTCACGGTTTCAACCAGTTAAAATATAAATGGCTCTAAGTGCACATTAGCTTTCTGCACTCATTATCCGGGTTTCAAGTCTTAATTTTAAATCTAGATTTCTTCCTAAGATAACTAAAAAACATATTTTTATGTGATTATCATTCTTTGTTCTGTAATTTGTTAATGTTCAATTAGAAAGAAATTCCTAGTATGAGTCCATTGATCTCTTGAGAAACAGATTCAATATAGACAAGCTTACAGCTGGAAAGTGACAGAGAGGGGATTCCAATCTAAGTACTTTCTACAGATCAAGTCTTCTTATGACTGTGCTTGGCTCACTGGGAGTTTTAAATACTTAGATATTTAACTATGATACTTTCAAGGGACATTTAGAGGAAAACGTTCTCGTATTAATAATACTGGTAGTCTTCTTTTCATGAATACTTTCTTTCTGCTCCCAGAAGATAATATTTGTGCTTACACTGAATAGGTGAAAGGAAAAAGTTAAATTAGTCAGATATCTGGTACATTATAAAATCCTCTTTTGATACAAATTTGGCATAGCTTTTGGTTACTGATGGAGGGAAAATTCATGGTGGTCAGGATACTCTTAAATATCATTTCTATTCTCGACTCTACTTAGGAGGAAGGGCTAATGACTAGATACAAATATCACTGATATTTAATGTTTTAAATATTACAGCAAAATAAAGTTAGATCAACTGTTAGAAACTTCACACTCAAAGGCAAAACTATCATATGAAAAATTATCTCCAAAACTTCATCAGGCCATGTATGGTAGTACATTCCTATAATCCCAGTGCTTGGAAGGCAGAAGAAAAAGAATCATGAGTTTGAGACCAGCCTAGACTTGCTAGCAAGTTCTAGGCCAGTTTGGGCTATATTTTTAGACTTTGTTTTAAAAATCAAAAAATAAATGAAAAACCATTTAGACACAACAACAAAAAATTTCTTTTGTAAAATTTTGAGAGTAAGGGAATAAAATGCAGCCTGATAAATGATATTTTGAATAGATGACTTTCTTAGATGATTTGCTTGGTTTCATTAGAAAAGTTTAGTGTTTCTCTTTTACAATACATACAAAATATGGTCTAAATCATTAAGGATTAATTAATCAATACATCAACACTAACATTTGCTGAATAGAAATTAGGAATAATAGACATAATATACAAATAAAAAGACTTAAAGCCATTGATGTGATCCATCCTGACTTCTCAGTTTAACTTATTATGTTAATTTTTAAATAATTAATGGATACAGAGAAATTTAAGTTATACGGATTAATGGATACCATATAATATTTGGGACATGTATTCATTGTATAAAGTTTAAATCAGGCTTAACATATATCTCTCTTCAATCATTTAGCATTTTTTGATTGCATAGTTTAAATTTAAATTGTTTAAACTATCCACAAAATAATAGAACACTTCCCATTAGACATGCTTTAAGCATAGTTCTTTGCATGTTCTAAGTTGTCAAATGCACTGTTGGCTCTCAGCCAGGGTGTCTCCCTTAGAGGAGACAGTCACTCTTGCAAAACTATAAGTAAATTAAAAACAAAACAAAACAGTAATAAATACTATAATTAAGAACTTTGCCAAACTGACTGCAGGCCAGAAAAAGTAATGAAGGAAAGTAACAAAGCTCATTTCTATGTCTATTTTTTAAAAATATAAAAATTACCTTTCCAAGCTTTGCTATGTTTCGGTACAAGGACAAAGGCAGAGTAAAGGTAACGGTGGAAAGCACAACAATGAAGTGTCGGCCAATAAACACATTTTCAGGATCAACTACAATGAAGTAAATATTATTTAGTATTTGCAGGTACAAGGAAACATCAGAAGACTTGAAGCATGGCTCAGATGTTGGAGGGCCTGTCCAGCATCCACAAAACCCTTGGTTCAAGCCCCAGTGCTGCTAACTACAGCACAACATAATACAACAAATCAAAGTAGCACATTAGTATCAAACTAACTTATCAAGCATTCATTATGACAGCATAAACTTTTCATGAACAACAAAAATTTTGTTAATAAACTCCAGAACAAGAAGAAAAAATAGAAATAGAAATAATTTAAAGAGAAACATACATTTCAAATGATGATATACAATTTTATATTTATTTTAATATTTTAATTGTCTCATAATTGGATTCTCCCTGCTCTCCAAACAGACTCATGATTTAAAAAATATAATCATCATATGTGAACATTGAACAGGGAGTGGAATTGTCTGAGAATGTTCTTAGTAGATTTTTAAAAGGCAAGCAAGCAAACGAGCAAGTGAGCAAGAGAGAGAAAAAGAAAGAATGAAAAGTAAGCAGCAACAAATGTTAACCAGGATATAGTGGAGAGGAAAGGCACATATAGACACTGTTGGTGATCATGTAAATTCATTCAGCCATTTGGAAATAAGTATGGAGGATTCCCCTGCCAAAAAATTCCAAAATTAGAACTATCATATGATTCTGCTATGTCACTCTTGGATTATACAGTTAAAGAATATAATTAGAGAGTACATTTCTTGTGTACGCACTATTTTACATATGTAACTGTAACCTCTCCGTACATCACCTCGACAATAAAATTAAATAAAAATAATATAATTAAACACAAGATAGATACCAGAATACCTATATTTCTTGTGGCACTTTTCACAATATGCAATTAGTTTAGGAGCCTATCAACTAAAGAATATATATATATATATACATATACATGTTTATATATATGAATATATTCAACACACACATATATCTTAAACCCTGCAGAGTCTTATTTTTACTTACCTCCTGGGATTCTTTGAAAAACTTTGCTCAAAGTATCTCCAGCAATTATGTTGTAACTTATCATAGCTAAAAATATCATTAAAATGAAAGTCATCAATAAATCATCAAGTACTTTATCTCAGATATTTTAAATGTCATCAATTATTACTTTCCACATATTGGTATAATCTCACACTTTTACAAATGTGGTATGGTCATCAGTTTGTACAACTTTAACAAATTTAATGTACCATATCAATTTGCTTTATAAGAAAATTTTACTTTATACATTGATTGTCCCAGAGTACCCTTAAATGATGAACTGTGGAAGACATTTAAAATGCAATTTATTTCATGGCTAAAGTTGAATGTCCACACATGTACTGCTTAAGTGAAGAATAACAATAGTAAATTTCAAAGGTACCAAAGTATCTCCTCAATTGAAAATGCAACATTTTAGGGGAAATACATTCTCGACTTGGCAACATACAGATGTAACTGTTGGGATGAGTTTCTATGATATTGATATAAAAATAAACTTAATTTGATCATTAGCTTATACTAAAATTTTATCTATTTACAAAGTGTTAGGTAACACTTCATGATTGTGGCACAAACATTAGGATGTTGATCTCGTACATGGCTTTCACAAATCCTTAGTTAAAAAAATCATGCATTGGGGCTGGGAAGGTGGCTCAGTGGTAGAGCGCTTGCCTTCCATGCACGAGGTCCTGTGTTCGATTCCTCAGCACCACATAAGCATAAAGAAAAAAGGCGGAAATGGTGCTGTGGCTCAAGTGGTAGAGCGCTAGCCTTGAGCTGAAGAGCTGAGGGACAGGCCCAGGCCCAGAGTTCAGGCTCCACGACTGGACCATCTCCCCCCCAAAAAAAATCATGCATTGAGTCTTAAGAGAAAGTTATTACTTCTTTCATTCACTTTCAGTCCCAGATCAGTTTATTTTTATGAAATAAGGAGCAGTCAAACATTAATCAAATGAAAACCATCCTCACTTTATTTCAGAAAATAGTCCCAAAGGACCTGAAAATTAGGAAGAAAATGGTAAACAATAAAAACATTCAATTTGGAAAGTATTTCAATTGTTATTTTTTTTAATGATTCCTAAGGTGTTATTACACTATTTTCATTTAGAAACGAGTTAATGCCTATCATGCTAGCAACTCAAAAGATTGAGATCTGAGATTTACTGTTCAAAGCCAGCTCAAAATCCATGAGACTCTTATCTCCAATTAATCAACAGAAAGCTAGAGCTAAAGATGTGGCTCAGCTGGCAGATTGCCAGCCTGATTGAAAGAGCTAGGTGAGTGCACCAGGCCCTCAGTTCAAGCCCCAGCTCTGGCACAATAAGAACAACATCATCAACAATAATAAAAATTATTGCATGATAAAAGACATAATTCAAATATGCAACTTCATAATTATCTTACCTATAAAAGGATACAAAAATTGTAGGACAGAGAGGAGAAGATATCCTGGAAAGCCAAAGGTTTTGTTAACCAAAGACTGGTAGGTGTCTGTCCCAGAGAGAGCCCCTCCTTTTATCAACAAAACAAGGGAAAAGTCTGTGGGGGGAAAAATGTCAGAATACACATAGTTTTATTTAATTACCACCCAGAAAGAGGAAAAATTTAAAAAAAGTTTATTTCACGTTGCAGTATTCTCAAGACAAGGCTTACATATTTCATAAAGGTTTTTGTGAAGTGCAGTATTTTCAGTTGTATATTTTTCAATCAAGATACAAATATATGTAACATATCTAGGCAATGGTTTGGACAGAAGAGGATTACAGATGAGATTCAACGTGCAGGGCTCTACTTTTTGTTCCTCACCCTATAAAGTAACCACTGTTACCAGCTCTCCAAGTAATGTCACATTGGTAGTCAGGCACTGTATAGGTATTAAAGTATGAAGACTATGATTGAAATTCCATTAGTATTTCAGAAACTAATAGATTTAGGACAGCCAGAGTTTGTGTGTATGAGTGTGTGTTTTAAGTAAATAAAGTTAGTAACATGTTTTTTTTGTTGTTGGTCGTGGGGCTTGAACTCTGGGCCTGGGCGCTGTCCCTCAGCTCTTCAGCTCAAGGCTAGCACTCTACCACGTGAACCACAGCACCACTTCAGTAGTTAGTAACAATATTAAAGCTACTATGGTTAAGAGAACTTTACAGCATGGTCATTGTAGTTCCAATTATAGAATTAAAGTCAAGGATAAAAACATATAGAGGTTAAATAAAGTTAATTCCTCTCTTTTATTCAATGCAGTGTCTTTACTGGATGACATTGCAGTTGTATTGAGCTTTACAATTGTATATACAAGGTATTGTATTTGTTCTCTTTTCTCTTTCTTTCCATACTCCATTACACTGATTTCCTTCCTTCCTTCCTTCCTTCCTTCCTGCTTTATTGCTTCCTTCCTTCCTTGCTTTTTTGTGCCAGTACTAGGGCTTGAACTCAGGGCCTTTGCGCTGAGGCTCAAAGGGGAGCCACATCTCTCCTTTATGGCTTTTTTTTTTTTGGTGATTTTTTTTAAACGTAAGAGTCTTATGGACTTTTCTGCCTGGGCTGGCTTTGAACCATGATCTTCGGATCTCAGCCTCCTTCTTAGCTAGGATTATAGATGGGAACAAATGGTATCTGACAGATTTCTTTGTTTCCCGTAAGTTGGAAATGCATCCACATACAAAGAAGAAAATACAACATATGCAGTATAGTTTCTATTTCCATTCTCTCTCTTGAATCAGTGAAACTATTTTATCCAGTTCACTAACGATGTCCAAGGTGATCTATCCAGTTGCTACTTCCTAAACCTGAATCTTTGATGATTTTTGCTGCCAGTCTCCCCTTCCTCCCTCCCCCTCCACACATCACTCTCTCCTAGAACTCTTTCATTCTAGCACTTTTTCTCTTAGTTCCTGCTTAGTTTCATCTACTGTCTCCTTTGGTATTTATTATATCACTTTTTTCTGGGTCTTCTTCAACCATTTCAGTGTTTTTATTGGCCTGTTTGTTTCACCAGTTTCTTTTATTCTGTATATTTGAGCTTTTTTCTCACTTCATAATACACTATTCTGATTACATTAAGCCTGTGGTTTTAATTGTCATACAGATGTGATAACACCTAAATTTGTGTCTGAAGCACAGCACCTCATAACTCTAAACTTCTGTGTCTCCCTGTTACCTTAGAGATGATCTAGGTAAGCCAATTTTAAGTGTCCAAATTCTTGTTTTGGTATTTGTATTAGAATTTGCTTTCTTATTCACTTTGTCCCCAATTGGTGAATATCAGCAGCAACCTAGAACTTCCCTGGGCTTGTTGATATTCCTTACTTCCTGTATTCTTGGATCTCCAAGATCATTAACTATTGTGTCATTAGTATCAAAGAGTAGCTCCTAATTTCTAATCTTTAACATGATTTATTCAAAGCCTTGGCTTTTATAATTTCTTGCTGGAATTGCTGCAATCACTTTCTTTCAGTGCCTTTTCTTCATTAACCCACAGATACTTCTGGTTTCCCCTCCCTACAAAAACATTCTGACTTTTATCCCTCTTTCAAGTGACTCTTCTGCTATAAATTCTCTAGGGAGATCTAGTGTTTTCTATGTACATAAAATGCTTTTCATAAGAAATTACATTTATTATCTCTGTAAGCCTTTCTGCAGTAAGTAAGCCAGCCTTACAGTATTTGGGAGGATTATGGTGTTGAAATGCCTATCCTATGCCTGGTGTGACCTAGAGGCTAATGAATGAGAAGTTGTGCTATTCCCATTTATCTTTGATGGACTCCACTTAGTGGTTGGCAAAACATTGTATCTGGACTCAGGTACCAATAACAGCTCTAAGACTCTATAAAATAGGTTCACAACTTTTCTGTGTGCCAGGTCTTTTTTCAAAACTCATTTGATCTTTACAATCACACTAAGAAGTGGTTAGTATCTCATTGAATGAATAAAAAGGTAAGGCACAGGAATTTAGTTCAATAGATGAACTCCACTTTGCTAGAGATGAAAAAAAATCAGGATGTAGGCTGGAGTTTGAGGTAGTCCAACAGTCTATACATTTATCCCCATCTCTGGGTCAGTAACTGCAGATTTGTTGTAAGCCATTTACATTGAAGTCTCTTTTCCCTCCTCTCTAAAGTAAAACATCTGCCTCATTGAATCAGGATTAATATTGTGGCTGCAAGTTGCTCAGCATTGAGACAGTCCTGCAGAGATGGTAATGATTATCATTGTAAGGCAACCTTTGCATCTACCTCTGCAAGTCCTTCGAACTCCTCTCTCTCCTTGCTGAATAACTCCTCACACTCTAGCCACAATAAAGCACTAGCACATTTCCCTATGCCTTCCTACATTTCCATCTGCTTACAGTACCCATCCATTTACTGTCTAACTTAATTTTTTCATAAACAAAGAAACATGCTCCTTGTCATAATATTCCTTGGAGGCTGACTTAAATGTCAGTGTCTGGATCATCATGTACAGGTCTTTATTAAGGTATTTTTCATGATATAATTATGCATGCATTTTGGTCTCTCTGATACACTCTGTAAGGAGCTTCATGGATAATTTTTTATTATTATAATACTGGTGGCAGGATCATTCATTGAGACAGTAATGACCTGTATGTATTTGATGAATAAATTAATGTCAGTATAGTAGAGTTAGCTAACTGTCTAACTTTAATTTAATGTGGTAAGTGGCATAATAAAGAGATTTTAAACTATTCTACATGCAGAAATGATACAGCAATGAATTCCTACTTCCTTTGCTTAAAACTAAGAAATGCTCCCCCAGAGGTGTGTCTGGTTGGATAATCAGTATCTCACCAGGTGGAGAAGGAACAGAATATCAGATAGAAATAGTAACATCAGGAAGGCAGTGTGAAAGAATATTCCATACATGTGGAATGGAACAGTCTATAATGGCTAACAGAGAAGGTGACTGGCTAGAAAAAAATTAGATATGACACTGAAAACTAAGATTGCCAAAAAAGCAAGGAAAGATTTAGATGTTGTTTTGTCATTACAGCAACTTAGAATGTTTGGAATGGGAGAGAAACAGAACTGAGGCTGAAGTCTTAAGAGAATTCTGTAACAATATGGAAGACTCATTAGAGGGAGGGCAGACACAAGGAGGAAAGCCAGGGAGGACTTGACTCACTGTGAAGACTGAGAGGCCATTAGTAACATCAGAAATGCCATGAAGGGTTAGGTAAAGAATTGGATGTTTGAGGTGAGAATGCTGAGTTTTAAAAAAATATCAAAATTTATTGTTTACAATTCTCAATTTTAAGACTCAAGTAAATAACGAATGTGTTAAATCTGCTTGTAAAATATAGTCTATAAATACATTCTCTTCAAAGATTTATGTTTTCTTTTTTCTCCCTCTCTCCCTCCCTCCTTCCCTTCCTCTCCCCTCACCCTCTTATTTATGTATGTCTTATGTATGTATGTATGCATGCATGTATGTATTTTGCTGGTCCTAGGGCTTGAACTCTGGGCCATGTCTCTGAGCTTCTTTGCTCAAGGCAAGCACTATACCATTTGAGCCACACCACCACTTCTGTTTCTTTGAGTAGTTTTATTGGAGATAAAAGTCACATGGACTTTCCTGCCAGAGCTGGCTTTGATCCATGATCTTTCAGATCTCATCAGTTGAGAAAGGTGTTTACATCATGAATTACTTATGTATAGTATGATTTAGGTTTAGTAACTGTTCGTTCTTCTCAAATTCTGAATCTGAGGCGATACATTTTGCTTAACTTTTCTGTTTACTTGTTTATAATGTGTAACTGTTTTCAATGCACTTATGCTAGGAAATTATACCTGAGCAGTAATTGTCAACACTGACTGACTAGGAAACAGGAAATTTAAAAGGACAAAGGTAGTTACTTGAGTAGGCTTTTAAAAAATGTAATAAATGCTATTTTATGGGATTAAGTACAATGCAATTTTTTCAACCTAGTAACTGCTAATAAGCACAAAGCTATGGGTCCCAGGCTACCAAGTAATAGGTCTTAAACTATAAATAGCTAGAAGCAGCTTAGGTCTTGGGGGAGGGGTAAAAAGAAGAAGGGAGGAGAACAGTCCAATGACTCTACAGCTTTGGATTGGTAACTATTGAATACTTTATTACTTCTTCTTAGCCAGAGGAATGATGTTATTAAGTGTTGGATTAGAAAGTCTGAGACTTTTTTAAAAGATTTTTTTTTAAAGGCCAGATTACCAGAAACAGAGCTGGGACCAATCCCTTGACACAGAGTACTGAGTAGTACTGAGATGGAAGGAGAGGCCAGAAAACTAGCTAAGGGTTCCATCTTGGTGGAGACTAGTGGCACTTTAGCACCATGGTGTTGGCACTCTGGAGCTCTAACTGCACTACATGTTGGGCCCTTTTGAATGAAAGGAGCCTGGCTTCTGGATTTCTATCATTCAGTCATCAATTGAAGACTATAGGGAAACAGGTATGGCATCACAGGAAGATGAATCTACTGAGTTATAGACACCACTCCGGAGAGAGAGAGACAGCTGAGGGGCTCTGCCACAAGTTGGTTCCAAGGGATCTAGTTGCTCACTGTGGTTACCACAGCAGAAAAACCCTGTCAGTGTCTCTTTTATGATCACTGCCTCTATTTCAGTGATCCTAAGCCGCCATGTTTGCCATAAGATGGTAGGAAGAGAATATTAGGAGTAGTAAAGTCTACATTTAGATGGAGAGTGACCATGATATATACAGAAGGGGAACAGAAGGAAAGAGGTTTAAAACAAACATAGGCTGTGGCCTGGGGAGGTGGCTCAGTGGTACAACACTTGCCTTGCATGCATGAGGCCCTGGGTTTGATTCCTCAGCACCACATAAGCAAAAAGAAAAAAAGCTGGAAGTGGTGCTGTGGCTCAAGTAGTAGAGTGCTAGCCTTGAGCTGAAGAGCTGAGGGACAGCGCCCAGGCCCAGAGTTCAGGCCCCATGATCGGACCTGCCCCCCCAAAGAAAAGAAACACAGGCTGCATGTTTTTCCCCATTTGTAGCAACTAGAATGCACCTATAAATCTACATGTAAACAAACTTGATGATTAATATATATATGTATGCATGTATATATATATAAAAATCATACACACACATACACACAGGGACATGATATATTATATAAGACTCTAGACATTTTCTGAGGCCAAAGGAGGATATGTATAGGAGCCATAGACAAAGGCTCAATAGCTATGTGCATATGGTCATATAAAACAAGATTTTATGAAATGAACTCCAAGAAAAGAAAACAAGAGAATTTTTTAGTTGCCATTGTTCCTTTTTTGCTTTCTTTTCTTTTTGTCTTGTTAGTTCATTTGTATTTGGGAGGGTAAGGGGGGCACAGAAAATGTAGAACAACATTGGTACTCACAAGAATAATGAACTGTACATCTTGTGGGTGGGAGGGAGAAACTGGAGAGAGTGAGGGAAGGGGAGACATGGTTCAAACAGAATTGTGCTGTTACCTGAGTTATATAACTATAACCCCTCTGTATATTAACTCTACAACAACAAGAAAAAGAAAATAAAAGAAAGGCAACCTAAACAACAACAAAAAGTGCTTCTGCTGCACCGAAGGCACACAGGGAGGGGGTAGGGTGGGGGATAAGGGCAAGTCAATCAGAAGTTTGCAGGTGAGCCCTGCTAATTGAGCACTGGCTTCCAGTTCCACCTGTGCAAACAGGGCTGTCAAAGGGTGCTCCAATGCACCTGCCCACAAGACCTTGCTGTGCACTGTCAGTGGTGTCCTTGCTTAGTCTTCACCAGCTTGAATGTGACTTTCCCATCTACTACTTTCCATATAAATAAAAAAAAAAAACACGTGGAAAGGATTTAGGATCTTCTACTCTTTCTAATCTGTTTAAAGGATTAATATGAAAAGTAAATCGCCTAAGACTTAATGTTTAAATTCTTTAGTATCCTTTGATGCACTTCTTGATTAGCTAGGAAATCCAATTGTAGGGAAAAGTCATTTGCAGTCTGAAATGCAGAAATACTCAATTATGTGATGTTTTACCTGTAAAATATGAAACCCAGAACAAAAGCAATATGCCCAATGGAAATCCAGCTTCCTTCATTGAATATGGGAGGCCTGGGTGGGGGAAAAGTTCCATATTAGTAAGAAGACACAGAGATAGAGACATTTTCCCCAATTCTGATGCATAATAGTTAAGTTTACATATGCTCGTGACAGATTTTCTAAGCAGTACATAGGACACTCCTAAAATTAAATGCTAGCATATTAATATTTATTCCAAGCTATGGTGTCATCCAGTTAGAAACATGTCAAGAAAGCAGATGATGGGATGAGAATAAAGCAAGGAATGAAAATCAGATGTCAATTTATACAAATGTTGAGAGTGACATAAGTTCTAGAATGCAGAGAGAGTAGTGACATCAAACTTTTCTTATGTACTAGCTTAGAAAACAGTATTTGATAAGAAAAAGTAGCATTATGGGATATTATGAGAGATGGACACTGGAATCAAATCATGAAGGAAATGTCAGAAAAGGGTTAATGCAGAACTATTTTTGATAAAGCTAAAGGATGGATATATAATTATTTAATATAATTTGGGAAATCTGAACAATTTTAGATTACTGTCAAAACATTCAAGATAAAAATAATTTAAATATCTCCACTCAAGAAACATTTTTTTTTCTTTTTTTGTTACTCATGGGTCTTGAACTCTGGGCCTGGGCACTGTCCTAGCTAAGCTCTTCAGCTCTAGGTGAGCTTTCTACCGCTTGAGCCACAGTGCCACTTCAGGTGTTCTGGTGGTTAATTGGAGATCAAAGTCTCACAGGCAAGTCTGCCTGGGTTGGCTTTGAACTGCGTCCTCAATTTCAGCCACCTGAGTAGCTAGGATTAAAACCACCAATACCTGGCAAATCTTGTTTTCTGAAAAGACTTCTCTTTAAACTTTGTTTTAAACTACTAAGCATAATGTAGTGTTGGTGATTTTTCATATTGCTGGAATATTCATATCAGGAATCAATTCCAGGAATCCACCATACAGAATTTCCCATATCTCTACAGTGTATAGAGGAAATATTTTTGTAGCTTTTCCCCCCCAGTACTAAGGTTAAAACACAGGGCCTTGGGTGCTTATTAGACAAGAGCTCTACCATTTAAAACAGGTTCCAGCCCATGGCAAGTAGAATTTTAAAGAGGTTTTTCCTCTACTGTTTGTATTTCACATCAGGTACTTCCAATTTGTCTACCAATTTTTAAAAGTCTCTATATGTACAATCCAAAGTCCATCAACATGTGGAAAAGTAAGAAAAATAGTGCCAGGCTGAGAAGTGCAAATTTTCAGGCTATTAGAATGACAAGCTTTGAAGTATAAAGTTACATTCCTAGTATTGTAGCTTGCCGGATTTTATTTTTCCTTGTCTTTTCTAAATTGGAATGCTTTCAAATAACAAAAGGAATAATAATCACCCTCTGTAGGTCAGAGGAAGAATGCGGTCAGCTGTTTGTGTGTGTTGGTAAAGTGAGAAAGGTATGACCCCAACCCTATCTTCACAATGGAAAAAAAGAAACTAGAAAGACTCTTATGGAAGAAAATGGAAAAGGCTTTTGTGGAAGAAAATCATCATTTTTCTCATTCAATTTTTTCCCTTTTAAAAAATAAACCACAACACCAAAGTAGCAGCATACTAAGAGTTTTAAATATGACCACTTTGTTTCAAATAGAAAACAAAACCAAAACAGAACACTCACCTATTATACCAGATCCTATAATAGAGTTGACAATATTAAAAACAGCAGCAGACTGACAAGATTTCCCTTTGTGCTCCTGCTCAGAAACCAGGGTTTCCCGGTCATCCAGATCCCCCTATTTCATGGATAAATGGGTGAGTTTACTATTTACTAGCACACACACAAAAATGGACAATGTCAGACAAATAAGCAATGCAAGATTTTAACAAAATATTGATGCTAATACGTCAGATCGATGGTGAGAATAAAATGATGATGAATAAGAGCTATCAAATCCACAGGTTTGTAAGCAACTCCACCCTCCAGGGGCCTCTTCACAGCTGTCCCAAATTCTTACTTAGAAGGACAGGAGGGATTAGGGAGTCAACATTGAGATTCTGTGACATTAAAGAGGTAGTATTGAAAAATCCTTGCCAGGGAGGGGATTTTAGAAATCAGTTAAGTCAGATAAAGACATTTTTACTTTTCTGTCTGGAAAACTTTCTGCAGTGCGAAGCCAAGCCCCCAGATGAAGGTAGCTGATCTTCGGTAGCAAGGATGGAGCCAGCAGAACTGGCTCAGAGCCTGTCCCGGTGTCCAGCGTTACCTGTGATGGGGTGAGGCGCTGCTGCCCCTGGTAACCCATAGCTGGGCCGAGGTCTGGAGCACGTGGAAAGTTCTGGGTTTGGGAACCCCGGCTCTGGCCCTGCCAGCTTCCTTGTCCTCCTGGCACAAACACCACTTCTAGGTTTCAGGCACAGAGGTGGAGCTGCAGGGAGCCAGCGACGCTGTCTGCGGGACGCTCTGCAGGAGGCTGGACCCTTCAGCTGCCCTCAGGTCCTCCAGCGGTGGTCACGCCCCCATCACTTTCTCACCAGTCTGCCCAGCCAGAGGCAGAATACCCATGCAGGAGTGCTGCAGGGTGTTTGTAACCCTCTCTCCCCCAGGACTCCTTTAGTGCCGCCCTGATCCTCACGGCGAGCATGGAGAACTACTCTTTCCAAGGCTGCAAAGTACAATTGATTCACCCACCCTACCCTGACCAGATTGTAGAGAGTTAGGACGAGTCCATTTTACATCATTCAAGAATTAGTTAGATTCTGCTGCAGTCTGATGACCGGGCAGAACACAGGGCACTTCTTCTCTGCCCCTGCTTCTACCCCACTCCTGCTTTCTTGAGCATCTTTCCTATCAGCACTTTCTCCCCCTACGTTCCTTCTAGGACAGAAATGACAGGTGAAAATGGGGCACTTGTTACGTTCCTAAGAAAATAGCTACAGCAGCAACACCAAGAACAAGAAAATAGCTGCCATAATGTTCCTAGGAGTTTAGCAAATGTGATAATTCTGCATGCTTTGGTCAAATATCTCCCGGTAACTTCAGAAAAAGAGAGAAGAAAAGAAGATAGATTGTTACTGAATTCAGAAAATAAACCTGTAAAACTTAGAAAGGGGGATGTAAAGATGAAAAAGGAAGACAACCTAAAGTATGAGCTAGAAAGAATCTGAAATGACCATCTAGTCTTTTCTATTATATCACAGATGACGAAAGCAAAGCCTAAGAGTTCTCATTCATTGAAAAATACAGAATAATCAGATAATAGTGCTAATATATAAATACTCATGGACAGTAAGAATGATAATAATATATAAGTGCTTATCAATAAAGAGGTTCTTTTCTTTAGGCATTCATTTAAGATTATGAAAATTTATATTGAAATATAGAAAAACTGAAGAGAGTTTAAAACTAAATTCTACATGCTGTCTACCATCCAGGTACCACATGTTAATATTTTCTCATATGTCTTCAAATTGTGAAATTTGAAGCCCATTGCCATATTTCTTTCATACCATCTCTAATGTCACCTAGTTTGTGAAATTAGTATGTGTATTTTTATACTGATTAATAATTTCATTCATTTCTGTTTATAAATTATTTATAATACACAAACAATAATCTTGCTTTGGAGATTTACAAGGATGTGAGTCAGTGCTCATGGCTAATGTCTATAATCCTAGCTAATCAGGAGGCTGAGGATAAAGGTTTGAGGCCAGCCCAGGAAGGGACTTCCATAAGACTACTATCTCCAATTAACCAACCAAGAGCCAGAAGTAGTTCTGTGGTTCAAGTGGTAGAACACAACTCTTGAGCAAAAAATGTTCAGGGATAGTGCCCAGACCCTGAGGTTAAGCCTCAGTACTGGTAAACATATAAACACACATACATATACCACACACACACACACACACACACACACGATTTCACTCACACAAGGTTTCACACACACAAGGTTTCACACCCGCAAGAGTTCTAAGGATTAAGCTGTATTGTACATGTTATCTTCCACTGGTATTTTTGAATGTTTACTCAACCTGCTTGCAAAATGTTTGTAGATACAGGCAAATAAAGATGATTCATTTTATTTACCTGTTAGCCATCTCTTGGAGTGAAATATATTTAAGGTTGTTTCTTATTTTGCAACTTCTGGAGCATATAGCTAACAAGTTCTCAAGAAGTGGAACTGTTAGGTAGCAGTAAATGTTTCCAAATTTCCCAACAAATTGATACTCACAATTATACTCTCACCATCAGTGGTGATATTCTTAATTTCCTGCAGGAAATGATTTATTTATTTTTTCTTAATTTTATTGTAAAGATGCTGTACAGAGGGGTTACAGTTATATGAGTAAGGTAATGAGTACATTTTTTGGTCCAACATTATTAACCATTCCTTTGTTTTTTCTCCCACTATTCCTTCCCTCCCCCACTCCTTCCCTTCCCCAGAAGTTGTGAAGTTCATTTTCAATATAGTTTCTTGTGAGCATCATTGTTGCAATGGGTCATCCTTCGTTCTTGAAGACACGGTTTAATTTGCAAGACTTGTTCCTGAGTGTTTTTAAATGGTATATGATGGTTGTACAAATCTTGAGTATTCTAATTTATAATGGAGGACTTTTTCATATATTCAGTAATAATTTGCATTATCATCTTTGAGAATTTAATTTTACATCTTTTGCACATTTAATTTGGTCTGTTGGTCTTTAAAAAATTAATTTGTGGGAGACATTTATATATTTAGGAATCAATTACGTCAGTCATACATTTTATACACAATGTCTCCCACCTTTTTTTAAAACTGTGTTTATCTTTTATCATGTGATATTTATGATTTTGATATATTCAAAATTAGTTATCTTAATCCCAATACAAAAACATTAGGATAAAAAATTACATCCTGTTTCATGAAGACATGAGAGGAAAAAAACTTAAAGAAGAGTAACAAATTGAACCTAACTCTTTATGAAAAGATCCAAGCCAAGTTCTGTGTACTCTAAGAATGAAAGGATAAGCCCCGCGCCAGTGGCTCATACCTATAGTAACTACTCAGGAGTCTGTGATCTGATCTTAAGAGTCCTCGTGATCCTTTCCTAAGAATATCCTCTTCTGGTCTCACTGTGTAATTGTTTAGACTGCTGTTTAATTAATTGTGTCTGAGTATAATTTTTGTTTTTTTACTACCTATTAGATTTACTTGTAGATTGATAGGCACATTCTTATTATTATGAATGAGGGAAAACAGTGCAGCCTATGTTTCTTTGGATCTGGCTTGCTTCAGTTAATATAATTTTTTCCTCTTGTCTTTCCATTTCCTTGTGAATGGGGCAATACTATCCTCTCTTATTGAAGCATAGAATCCCACTGTGTATATATGCCACATTTTCTTCATCCATTCATCCACTGAGGGGCATCTAGATTGATTTTATATTTTAGCTATAGTAAACAATTCTGAGATGAATATGGTTGTGTCGATGGCTTTAGTGTGGTCTGGTTTGTGGTCATTTGGATAAATGCCCAGGAGTG